TGTATATATATATATATATATATATAGCTCTGATTTATAATATTACGTTAACAAAAATTTAAAAAAATATAGAAATGTATTGTTTTCGCGTTCATTTTTTTTATGTCAAATGTAATATATTATTAAATGTGTTTTTCCAAAAACATTGTGGAAATAATTAAATTCATTATTTTACTTTTTTATATTCTTACCAAAGATATAAAATCTTCCTCAGAATTTGTCAAACACTGATCAATTTCATCAAAAGATTCCATTGAAGAAATCGGAAGTAGACGGCTAAATTTGTTAATGGTACTATTATCATTTTGTGTTAACAGAGTATCTAGTTTTATTTTAATTTCTTGCTGTTCTTTTCTCGTTGCAATTGTTTCAAATCTGATTTCTTCAATTAGCTTAAAAATCTTTGTCAGAACTCCTGAAAAAATTATATAAAAGTTATATATTTATATTAGTAAAAATAACTAAATTAAAAGAACCATTTCTTCTTAAACTAGAATAGAGTTGTAACAGAATCTCACTTTCTTTAACATATTGAATATTTTTTGACTTTTTTGCATTAATTTCTTCGCTTTGGATTTTTGCATTTTCATTGAATATTATCGAACTGCTTGTAGCTTGAGAATTTCTTTGTAATTTTTTCTTATGCTGATTTGTTTCTGTTATTTCGGAATCTAGAATAACATAAAAACAGAAAAAAATTAAGAAACAGTAATTATTATTTGCTATATTACGAAGAGCTTCTAAGAAAACTTGCAGTTGCTGACCTTTTATTACATATGGTCTATAAATAAATCGCAAACCTGGCAGCAGTAACTGTAAATCCGCGATCATCCAAATGTTGGTCACAACAATAAACGTGTTCAGGAATATAAATATTTTTCAGAACAAAGACATTTACCCTGGATTCTAACGACAGTGGTCTAATATTTACAATAGCATTGCAAAATAAAAAAGAATTATTTCGGGTTTGGGTAATAACCCAATATGAGTTGTAGGCAAGTCGGATCAAGTTCTATCTGTTCTATTTCATGTATAAATAATGTATGTATGTATGTATGTTTGTATGTATGTATGTATGTATGTATGTTTGTATGTATGTATGTATGTATGTATGTTTGTATGTATGTATGTATGTATGTATGTTTGTATGTATGTATGTATGTATGTATGTTTGTATGTATGTATGTATGTATGTATGTTTGTATGTATGTATGTATGTATGTATGTTTGTATGTATGTATGTATGTATGTATGTTTGTATGTATGTATGTATGTATGTATGTTTGTATGTATGTATGTATGTATGTATGTTTGTATGTATGTATGTATGTATGTATGTTTGTATGTATGTATGTATGTATGTATGTTTGTATGTATGTATGTATGTATGTATGTTTGTATGTATGTATGTATGTATGTATGTTTGTATGTATGTATGTATGTATGTATGTTTGTATGTATGTATGTATGTATGTATGTTTGTATGTATGTATGTATGTATGTATGTTTGTATGTATGTATGTATGTATGTATGTTTGTATGTATGTATGTATGTATGTATGTTTGTATGTATGTATGTATGTATGTATGTTTGTATGTATGTATGTATGTATGTATGTTTGTATGTATGTATGTATGTATGTATGTTTGTATGTATGTATGTATGTATGTATGTTTGTATGTATGTATGTATGTATGTATGTTTGTATGTATGTATGTATGTATGTATGTTTGTATGTATGTATGTATGTATGTATGTTTGTATGTATGTATGTATGTATGTATGTTTGTATGTATGTATGTATGTATGTATGTTTGTATGTATGTATGTATGTATGTATGTTTGTATGTATGTATGTATGTATGTATGTTTGTATGTATGTATGTATGTATGTATGTTTGTATGTATGTATGTATGTATGTATGTTTGTATGTATGTATGTATGTATGTATGTATGTATGTATGTATGTATGTATGTATGTATGTATGTATGTATGTATGTATGTATGTATGTATGTATGTATGTATGTATGTATGTATGTATGTATGTATGTATGTATGTATGTATGTATGTATGTATGTATGTATGTATGTATGTATGTATGTATGTATGTATGTATGTATGTATGTATGTATGTATGTATGTATGTATGTATGTATGTATGTATGTATGTATGTATGTATGTATGTATGTATGTATGTATGTATGTATGTATGTATGTATGTATGTATGTATGTATGTATGTATGTATGTATGTATGTATGTATGTATGTATGTATGTATGTATGTATGTATGTATGTATGTATGTATGTATGTATGTATGTATGTATGTATGTATGTATGTATGTATGTATGTATGTATGTATGTATGTATGTATGTATGTATGTATGTATGTATGTATGTATGTATGTATGTATGTATGTATGTATGTATGTATGTATGTATGTATGTATGTATGTATGTATGTATGTATGTATGTATGTATGTATGTATGTATGTATGTATGTATGTATGTATGTATGTATGTATGTATGTATGTATGTATGTATGTATGTATGTATGTATGTATGTATGTATGTATGTATGTATGTATGTATGTATGTATGTATGTATGTATGTATGTATGTATGTATGTATGTATGTATGTATGTATGTATGTATGTATGTATGTATGTATGTATGTATGTATGTATGTATGTATGTATGTATGTATGTATGTATGTATGTATGTATGTATGTATGTATGTATGTATGTATGTATGTATGTATGTATGTATGTATGTATGTATGTATGTGTGGTATGTGTGTGTGTGTGTGGGTTTTATTTGTGTATAATATTGTTTTATTATAAATTAGTAACATTGATCATTATGTGATAATTGTTTTAGATATCTTTTTATGCTAAAGAAGTTAAGCTTTATATTACATATTTCCATGAAATCGATACCAAATAAACGTTAAAGTTCTTGAAAAAATAAAACTAACTTTTGTTCAAATTTATCTACATATCCTGTATCATGATAATAGAACAATTCAATATAAAAATAAATATGGCAAGTAAAAATATAAAGTCTATACCTGTATGTCCCAAAACTCTTATATTGACAGAGTTCCAATCATCACTGGGTACAGTACTGTTCTTTAGGTATCTTTTTAGGATTGATGGAATTATGTTTTTAGGCCATAATGCAGTTTTGTTATTAGATAATATCCAGGAAGAAAGGATAATTTCAACAGTATTTTCTTCAATAAATTCAACTATTGAATATTTTTGCATCTGCATATATAAACATATGACGTTGCATATGACATTTATCGATCAATTTTTTACATTAATAACAAAATATTTCTGCAATGCTTGTGAATATCTTTTTACGTATATTGGATAATATAATCAAAAAGTACAAAAATATTGCATAATCACTTGTTTCACTACACAAAAGATATTTAAAAAAAAGATATCTACATATATTAAAATAACACATTGGCAAAAAAACATATATTTTGAAAAGAGACATAAATATTAGCTTAATTAAATTTATTAGTAAGTGTATGTAAAAGAGGATATCCAATGTATGAAATATTATCTTCAAATACAATGCATTTGGCTTCTACTTCTGATAAATTAATTATTTTAGATGAGTCTTCCAGTTTATACATTCTATATATTTTTAATTTTTGAGATTCACAAGAATAACTAAAATAATTACCGTATTTTGTAAATTCCTTACAAATTAAATCGGAACAATGTATTTCTTGTGCATTTTTAAGAACAATATTGAAAATTTGTATAATATTTCCATTTTTTAACAACGCATAACGATCAGCTCTATGACAAGCCACAAAATGATACTTGTCAATAATTATCTCTTTATACTGACTTAGATTAGAGCTTTCCATGCCAGCAACAAGTGGCCCACTTTCATGTTTTCGTTTTAATACCCAATTAGAAATATATTTCCCAGGAATGGAAGCATTTTCAGAAAGTCGTCGTGATGATTGTGCTAATGATTTTTTCCCACCCCGAAGAGATCTTTTTATTTCTCCCAGCAAATTTTCAAAATCAAACGCACTTATATCATCTAATGTCCTATTAAAATTTCTAACATCATCTGGAAGATGAACAAGATTATGAACATTGTAAATTTTTGAATTTGGTCCAACGAACTCATCAAAAGTCTTAACAAATTCTATCAGTAAAGCCTGTGCATAATTACATAATTGTACTGCTAAGTTTGGATGTGAAAGAATAAATATAGCAGTATGAAAAATCTTAAAATGTTCCATATGATTATTTGAAATAATTCCATTCAAAACAAAAAGTGAAGTATACAAGAGAAATTGGCGTAGTTCAGTAGCTTTCCATTTTTTTATTTTATTCAAATTTTGTGGTTTCCTCGAAAAATCTACAGGAATGTATTTATGCAACGATTCTAATCTTTTGGATAAGATATTAATTCTTCTTGCATCTAATTTACAAAAATAATTATTCCCTTGCACCATTTGAAAAAGCATTCTTCTCATAACTCCTAAATAAACTAAATGCATTGGATCTAATATGAATTTTGTAACCATAGGAAAATTAATCTCTGTTAAAGGAGAAATACCATTGTGATGCCCCAACTGCGTTTGTAGCAAAAAACTCTCATCTGTTCTTATTTGAACATCGATTTCATTAAATATTGTTGCACCAAACGGATGTGTTCCTTTTTGTGTGCATCTTTCGCAACCATAAAAACCATTATGACCTTTAATTACTTTAACAAAAGCTCTAGCAGGTGCATCACAAATAAAGCCTAAAACCGTAACTGAATATAGTTTTGTATCGATAGCTAGGCCAACATCACAAAGATGTTTGTACTCTTGTATAAAATCTTGCAGATATTCATGTACATCTGGAGGTTTAGATTGGCCGCAGTATACAGCAACAATGAAAGGGTCAAGTTTACAAAATGATTGATCTATTTTGCAAAGTATCGGCCAAAATTGAATTGATGAACTATTGGCTAATGGCAGCCCATCAATATTAACAAATAAGTTTATTTCTTGTAACGATTTCAATAAGGGTACTTTTACAAACAAAGATTTTAAGTTATTGACAATTCCAAAATAACAATATTTTCCACCACACATATCAAAAACAGAAAGTATTAATAAAGTCCTAGCATCAGTAAATTCAATAAGATTGTATTTCTTTAATATATGTAATAGAGAATTCAAAGCGGTGTGAGAGATTCTATATTCAAGAGCCCACTGGGCAAGATTACTTGCTAAGTTAGGATTTATATTTACTGTAGAATTTGTTAATACATTATAACTATTACTAACAGAAAATTCTGCAATATTATTATCGTTAGAATTTCTTTCAAAATCATCTTCAGATAAATAATATTCAATAGAAGAACATGAGAGAGAGAGAGCTATCAGATTCATTATTAACACAATTAAAATTTATACTTTCATCCTCATTTATTAACCAATCAGAAAGGAATTCACATTCATTGAATTGCTGGCAATGCTCTAACAAGTCAGAATTAAGAAATTCTTTAGAATATTTTGATCTAATTGGTTCTTCGACACTATTTGTTTCCTTATCCTCTGTTTCAAGTATTGCAAGATGTTTTTTAACTCTTTCATTAATTTTTTTCCATTTAGTACGTCTCTTTGAAGACATTGTAAATATTAAACTATATATTACCTTTTATCTATTAATAACTATATATTATCTATTATTTATTGTATTAACTATATATTTATTAACTATTTATTAAC